AGTATTACCAAAATAATTTTATCTCTTAACTAAAATGATTACATTTTCAGAATTTCTCTCTAAAACATCCAAAAATATATCTGTGTAAGTAGTCTTTGTTGTTTTACATAAAAATGGAAACATTTTCATTGTGCAATACAATAACCAGTTTGCATTGAAGTTCTGTACTTGCTATGTACTAAGGCTTAGTATATAATAAGCCTTGGATTTTAAGGCATTAAACATTGCAGTGCTATATTTTCAGGACAGTACCCACTTCTGACCCAGTTTTGCTATTATGTAGCTCCAATTTCACAGAGACAAAGATGGGAACAGCATCATCGAAAGAAGCTCCTACTTCTCCCCCTGTTTCTACACGAGGTAAGTGTTACCTAAACCCCAGCAAATATTATAGTTCACTGACATGCATATAAACAGTGAACCATGTTAAATTATCTAATTCATATTTAATATTTCTTGTGAACATGTGCCATGTTTAGGGGATTGATCTGTAGATAGAATATTAAACTAAGGTTAACATAATCATTTACATACAGAGTAATCAGCCTCAGGTAGCCCAATCATCCACAATCTTGCTACATGCCTACTTTACTAACATTTACCCAAATAGTAGCATATTTTGGTCCGCTGGCTCGATAAGGTTGGCACCCAGCTGACTGCATGCCATTGCTAGTCCACCCTTGGACCACCCAGATTTTTGTCCTGCATACAAGGTCTAACCAGTTTTTACTCCTTCCAGACAGATTCAAATTCATGTAGCCTTTTATTTTTGTAAAATAATGTAAGATGAATATTACAAACAGTTGAAAGGAAAAAAAAACGACTAAGCCTAAGAATTTTATGAAAATGTTGCTAATACTGTGCTAGATTGGTTACAATTGTATAATTGGCTTTATTTATGATATTGCTGTTAAAATTATTTACTAAACTAATTTGCAAAGTATAACAAATGAAATAAATGATGGAAAAATTTGTAAATTGCAATGGAAGTGGAAAATTTTGTTCTGCTTCTCCTAACACAGTTGAATTAATTTTATTACTCAGAATTAAAAAAGCCCTGGAGGTCAGTGAACTGGAGGTAAGAGCCTGTATGTGTGCAAGGTAAAATTATGCATAAAATGAAACTATATGTAATACACTATTTAAGAACAATACTATGTTTTTAAAATGTATGTTAAAAGGTATACATTTGTATGACCTCAGAGCCGCTGTTGAACGGATATTTTTGCGTCGTGGATCAGCCTTACCCTAGCAGTTAAAACTCCAGCAACATCATTTGGTCTACCAACCAAATAATATCTGGTCAACAATGGCACCTGATTTTAGATTAAGCAAAGGGGTTACAATTTAATCTTGCAACTTTTTTATATTGTATCTTTTTCTTGCTATGCTCAATGTGTGTACTCTGTTTACTTCAATGCTCTTTCAGGGAAAAAGAGGCAATATTGAAAGAATTGGGAGACTTAAGGCCAAGTTCAAATGTCCTCAGAATTCTGCTGTATGGACCAGTTGGGGCAGGAAAGTCATGCTTCATAAACTCTGTACAGAGGGCTCTCCTAGGCCGTAATGCCATGGTAGCTCTGGAAAACACAGAACGATTTGGAAAAAGCTTTACTAGGACAGTAAGTAATCATTAATGTCAGTAGTTCTCAAGTTTCACCTGTTAATGTATAGTATTTGGCACTCATTCATTTTAATACTGTATGGTTTATTTAACTACATGTGATTAATAACATACATTTAGCTAAGTTTGAAACTGTCCAATTAATTATAATAATATTGACAAAAATAAAATGATTTATCTTTTTTTTTTGAACATTCCACTACATCAAGATCCACACTGTACTTTAGACACAGCCCGCTCTTCGAGCAATATGTGGCGAAGTTGAGCAGCCTTTAATCATTAAAGAGCAAGAGTAAGGTTTTATGGACTGATGAGTCTAAATTTGTAATTAATTTTGTAATAGGGATAACTTGGAACATGAGGAGAAGAAAGTGCAACCAACTTCTCATTTCCTGAAAAGAATGCAAGCTATAATAAAGGCAAAGGACAAATTAAATACTAGATAATTTAAATTTAGTTGCTGATGTTTGTGTCTTGATCCACTTGCACCAGTGCAACACACACTTACATGTCACTACCATGTCAGTTGTCAATGCAGTGCCAAGAATGATCCAAAAATACCTGATGGTGCTTTGAAGCCCCGATCATTGATTAGTGGGGAAAAGTGGGGTTAACAATTATGCAGGAAAAGAGAGAGAAAATGGACAATGAGTGTAGGTACAAGGAAGGTGTTCCAAAGAAAATAGCCAATGAATGTATCTGCTTTTGTGAGTTGTCATAAACTTCCTTAATGTAAGTGTGATGAAAGTGCTTTATTTGGATATTAAATATCCTGGAATATAGCTAAGCATTAATATTCCCTTTCAATACCTTTTTCAGATAAAGTTTAATAGTTTGTTTAACAGTTTGTATACTGATCCTATTTGTATTGAATAAAGTAATTATTTTTTTCTAGTGTTTGGTTTAATCTGCTCATTTGATTGTACAGTATGTTTGGATTTGTTCCTAGATCACTACACACAAGCTGAAGAAGCGTGGAGGCGGACATTATCCTTTTGTTTTAACTGACATCATGGGACTTGAGATGGATGGAGGCATTCTAACTGAGGACATCATGAAAGTTTTAGAGGGACGTATTTTAGATGGCTACAAGGTAAGTACACAGTTCATACAGTCAACTTATTCCCAGCCAGCACAAAAGCCTTGCTGGTCTTGAACAACAACTAACTAAAAAGTTAAAGTAGCTGTTTTATTTGTCATATGTAGCCTCCCATGTTACACTAATTTTGTTGTTTTTTTGTAGTTATCTGTCCAACATGAATTATTCATACACTATATTGCCAAAAGTATTCGCTCGTCTGCCTTCACACGTATTTGAACTTGAGTTACATCCCATTATTAATCCATAGGGTTTAATATGATGTCGGCCCACCCTTTGCAGCTATAACAGCTTCAACTCTTCTGGGAAGGCTTTCCACAAGGTTTAGACGTGTGTTTATGGGAATTTGTGTAGTTGGATTTCAAAGGCTACCTATAAAGCAATTTTTAATCAGAGTTGATAAAGCAATCATCATGTTTTTTAATACAGAAACATTTATTGTTTTTAATTTAAAGCTTTTGATTCATTCAGCTTTTTTAATTTTCAAAATAAAACCACATGCATCCTTGCACTGCTAGACCTGTTGTGCAGTCACTTTCAGTTTCTGCTTTTTATTTGCATGTTTTTCAGTATGGTTGCAATTTATCATGTTTTGCAGAGGAATTTAGATATTAATATTATTCCTTTTTGACACAACAATTCTAGAAATATTTGTTTTCCTGTTTTAGTTTGATTCTCAGGCACCTATAACATGGCGCAACTCAAAGTACAATAAAAACCCAAGCATATGTGATAAAGTTCACTGTCTGGTGAGCATTATTCCTGCTGATTCTATCTCGAGAATGGATCACACAGTGATTGACAAAATGAAGGCTGTTCGACAGAAAGCAGGTCAAATGAGTAAGTTTGAATTTATAGCATTTTTGATCCTTGAGGTTGATATGGGATTTACATGTAAAACAAAAAGAGTACATTTTTTATTACTGTGCAATAATTTATAGGTTTATGGATTGAGAATGGTATGCAACTTATATAGTATGTATTGTGGCATCCACCATGGGTCATGCAGCCATTAGCAGCTTGGGGGTGCAGCCATGCAAAGTGGCTCTCAGAGAAAGATGGTCATTGTTACTGATGTTGTTGCTGTTATTAGTGTAGTTGTGTTGCTTAGAGTATACCTTTATTCATTATCTTCTGTATTTTGTTTTTGTAGGAATACCACAAGTCATTGTCTTGACAAAAGTGGATAAAACATGTGAGATGGTCAACAAAGACTTGAGAAAACTTTTCCACAGCAGTAAGATCAAAGAGAAGGTAACCTATGTATCCCACTACAAGAGATGCAAAATATTAATCTTCACATCCAGATAAAGTTGAAAATTCTAAATGCTATGGAATGAATATGCTATTTAGATATTAGCACATTTGGATGCTAATCCCCAAAATGACAGAAATTAATATACACTGTATGAGTCCTCACATGCAGTTCCTAAAATGATACACTTACCTATAGATAGTATTTTGGATTCTATATAAAACTGTAATATCACAATTGTATAACCTTGCATTGACACATTTTTATTTCTTCAGGCAGAGCTGGGCAAACATGAACTGGACATCCCATGGAACAACATCTACCCTGTGAAGAACTATCATGCAGAGATCATCCAAGACACTGATATTGATGCTCTCATCCTCATGACACTCAGAGATATTGTCAATTTTGCCAGTGACCATGTGGAAGACGTGTATTAGTCTAGTGCCGGCTGTTGAATCATGAAATCCGTACAGTGACTCACAGTCTGATTAAGCATATATATAGACTACTCCTGTTTTAAATATTGTAAATTTTATATATGTATACATCTAATATATATATATCGAGCTATAAAAGCTGTGGGGAACTGCTACACAGTGGATTTTCCTTCTTAACAACACCTGAGTCAACTCATTGTTTAATTGTTATGTTTAGTTGGAGTGTTACAGCTGGGAAAACACCATTTTGTGCTAAACTCAGGCCTGCAGTTCCTGGGATGTAGCTCTGCACATATTTTCAATTTCCCAAATTTTTTAAAAGGAACAACATTTGCCTAGAAGCATAGCTTGTTTGCCTTTTGTTTGCATGACTGTGATTTGTTATATCCTTCCTGTTCTTACTCACTAACACATTCTTTAAAAGAATCTTTATTTTAAATGTTTTTTGGCTTGGACATATTTCTCTAGAAAAATACAAATATACAGTTTTATGTTTGTAAACTTTTAATGAATTTTCCAAAGCTGCCCACATATGTAAATGATTTACATATACTGACTAAAAATCATCAAACTCTGTCATAAGAGCTGAAAACCAAACCCCTAAACAGGTCAGACTGCAACGTAAAATGACAAACTGTAGGTCCAGCTGGTCTGTTGCCAAGCAATTTAAGTGGGCTGACTGGCATTGTCCTGTAGATATTCCTAATATTTAAAACCAACATTAAAGTGGCCAAGGTATAGTCTAATTTTTGGAAATGGGAGCTGCCTTAAAACTCTGTGGATATTTTATAATGAATAGATCAATACAAATGGTCCAAAAGGGCTTGGAATAAAAACATGATACATGAATATAACATTAAAAGCACACTGTCCCTTTTAAATTAAGTTATCATTGCATAGATTTTGTTAGGACAGTGATAATATAACACTCACTAGCAAAGATTTTGTAATGGACTGTTACATGAACATAAATCTGGAGCTGAATATATCTTAGAACTTCTTAGAACTCATGCAAGACCCACATATAGACAGAAATTGGCAGCTTAAATGGGACCCACAGCCGTCACCTAATTGGGGTCCACAACTGGGACTAAGGACTATAACAAAAATTGGGACTCACAGTGTAACCCAATTGTGGCCCATGACAACCCATTTAGGGTGACACACAACCCTTAAAAAAGCTTACCACAAGCATGTTGATTGACAGCCTGCTCCACCTGTAGAGAGAGACAGTACCCAAAAAGAAAACCTAGTTTATAACTAGGTTTATAACTTTCTAGTTTATAACTTTGTACAATGTGGGACCATCTCAATAGTTTTGTTTGTCACTACGAAATGAAAACATTGAAGGATTATGGTCAGTGTACACAACTGCAGGCAGAAATCCAGAACCAACAAAAACTGTAGGGCCAACAACAACAGAGCTAGAACTTTTTGCTCTATAGTACAATATGTCGCCTGATGCTTGCTGAATTTATGGGACAATTGCACAGAGTGATCAATTTCAGACTCATTTTTTATAATAAAACAGCACCCACCCCCAGAGCACTTGCCTAACTCTATCCCTCAAGTTTAAAGGGCTTAGAAAAAATAAGTGCAGCAAGCATCGGGGCGTAAAAAGAAGGGTTTTCCAAAGGATGCTAACAATCAGAAGTTCAAATAAAGGACTTTGGCTAAGCAAAGAAATGAAGGGTGAAAAAACAGTAGAGAAGTTTTTACAAAAGCGACGGTAATACCCAGCGATACCAATACACCTGTGCATCTCATGACAAGTTGGGGATAGGAAAATTTTAAATGGCAGCGACCTTAGTGTTGTACTTGCCACACCTGTCTGTGTCATACTTGGCAAGGACCTTAGGGTCTACTTGCCGCACCTGTCTGTCTGTCTACTTGCTTGCCAAAGAATGTCAAAAAGCCTGTTCTAGTGTATCAAAAACTGTTCTCAACACCTAAATTAGTGGGCCAGTCCATGGGATAAATGACAAGATCATGTGGATAAGCTAATTTGGAACATATTAACTAGTCTCTGGAAAGTAACAGGGGCATTCTTAAATCCAAATGGCATAATTCTACTTTGTAGAAAAGTTTCAAGGAAGACAAATGCTGAAATGTGCTGACATGTAACACCCCTTAATAAAGTTTCAAATATTAATGCATCAAAAAAGAATAAAATGATTTTGTGTATGATTTGGAGAGATTAAATGACTAGGTTTAGTTTGGCTCTTCCAAAGGGTACCATCTATAAACCACAAAGATAAGTGGCACTATAGCAGGTAACTTCTCCTTAATTAAAATGATTTAAAAATCATCATGTGAAACAAATTCTGATGCATCTTCTGGAATTTGCAGTTGATATTTTCACTGACTTGTAAGGCAAATACAGTTTTATAGTCTTGTTGTAGCTTTAATGCAGTCATATGTAGCGTTAAGCATAAACTTATCATTAGGGGTCAGTATATAGAAACAACATACTAAAAACCTAGTAAAGTCACTGTATGATCACGTCGCTGGTAATTAGGTGTTTATGTGCTCATGAAAAAAATGATCTTCGTGACAGATCCTGTCGGGAGAGATTCTATTCATACCAGAAATGTAAACAAAAAAGCACACAGCAAAAAATAAAAGAACCAGTTAATGCATGATGTAAATTCTGAAAGATTTCTATACAATGGAGCAAGTAGATCAGGAGTATATGTAGGCATTTATCTCCACGAAGTTCTTACACAACTACAAGTAACTGCAAAGCCCAGTGAAACCTACAGCAGAATTCACTCAAGAGTTTGTTCTCCTGTAATACAGGATGAAAACAAAGGTACTGAATTCTTGAATCCTCATGCCTTTTTCCACTGTTAATAAATAAAAAGGAGAGTGCATGCCCAAGCAATGGTGATTATCACTGAATCTTACAACTCCTTAAATCGAAGTTTTGGTTAAGACAATAAGACAGGTCAGGATGTGAGGAAATTAAATATGTCAGCAAATTTTGTTTTGGAAGCAGGGCTGACACAAAACTTGGGTTATTCATGAATGGGGAATGTTGTATATGTCAGCATTTTTTATTAATCTCCACTGGATGTGCATATTAATAGATAAAGAGTTTATTACTGAGCTGTTAATTCTAGAATGAAGATCAATTGTCTTAAACAAAATTTGTTAAATGTGTGTTTGGTCATATAGGCCATTTGTATTCAAACCTTTCCTCAGGGACCCCTAGATGGACCAGATTTTTGTGGATCAGACACAGCAGTGCGGCTGGAGTTTTTAAACATTGTGTCCACTCACTGTCCACTCTATTAGACATTCCTACCTTGTCTGTGCACCTTGTAGATGTAAAGTCAGAGACAATGGCACATCTGCTGCTACACAGGCTGTGTTGGTCATCCTCTAGTCCTTCATCAGTGGTCACAGGACGCTGCCCACAGGACGCTTTTGGCTGGATATTTTTGGTTGGTGGACTATTCTCAGTCCAGCAGTGACACTGAGGTGTTTAAAAACTCCAGAAGCACTGCTGTGTCTGATCTACTCAGACCAGCACAACACACACTAACACACCACCACCACATCAGTGTTACTGCAATGCTGAGAATGATCCAAAACCCAAATAGTACCTGCTATGTGAGGGTCCATGGGGGTCCTGACCACTAAAGAACAGGGTAAAAGGGCACTAACAAAGTATGCAGAGAAACAGATGGACTACAGTCCGTAATTGTAGAACTACAAAGTGCACCTATATAGTAAGTGGAACTGATAAAATGGACAATGAGCATATGCTCATTTTATATATATATATATATATATATATATATATATATATATATATATATGTGTGTGTGTGTGTGTGTGTGTGTGTGTGTGTGTGCGTGTGTGTGTGTATATATATATATATATATATATATATATATATATATATATATATATATATATATATATATTACACAAGCAGCTGGTAACCATTGGTTTCTATATATGTGCCACATGTTGCCTTGTTAGTAATATTGGTAACTTTTACTATTACTGTAGGTCATGTTCACAAGGTTCAAGTTCACAAGTCCTTCATGACAACAGACACAACCCCTAAAATAACATTTTTAAAGGCTTATTCCAAAAAAGTGGCAGTTGTCATAATGGTTTTGTTGTAAATCTTTTTATTTGCCAAATGAGAGAGTTCAGGAATGAAATATTGTATTCGAAGAGTTCTCTGTTCCTCCTGACCACAACACCTAATCTTACCAACAGGACTTGTGAGTATTTGTCCTGCAGCTTTTGATTCATTAGGATAATGTCAGGACAACAAATATCCTGTTGTGAGGTATACAAGTGGCTGTTTATGCCACTACTAGGGACAAGAACCCCCTTAACTGTAAGTCAGAAAACAGATGCTAGCCATTATACAACGTAACTAGGATAGACACACAATAGCTAAGACTTAAGAAAGAAACATAAGAATAACATTGGATACATTTTTAAAAGCTACAGCGCTGCTTAAATCCACAAACAGGACTTTTTTGAAGCGTCAGCAGAAGGTTTAGATGAATATACAGACATCATGATGTCACACATTAGTTTCTGTGAGAAAAACAGCACAGGAAACAATGAAAAGTTACATTGCTGACATACCCAACTTCTGTACTGTTTTTCCCAGACATCCAAGAGATCACCAACTACAAGGTCTTCAGCCTTTCTTTTCCTGTCCTTCACCCTGACTCTCTCACCTCTTTCTCCCACTCCTCTCACCATCAACTAGCAGGATGTCAAAAGGCAGATTTTTTAGCAGACATAAGGTAAAACAAGCTCCAGGGGCAAATTTAGTCTCTTCATCCTCCCTAAAACTTGCTGTCATCAACTACCAATAGTTTTCACAGACATACTCAAAAGTTCCTGGAACTTTGCTCTGTTTGCATGTTATTCAAATCCTGTACCATCTCCAGAAAATTTTACTTGACTAAATGACTATAGCTTAGTTGCCCTGACCTCTGTAATCATGAAGGCCTTTAAACATCTGATCCCAGCTAACCTGAACGTTACTACAAACACTCTGCTGGAACCTATAGAACAAAAAGGTCTGACAGTGATGCAATCAACTTGGCCCTGCACTTCATGCTGCAGCATACTGCTAGTCATAAAATTTGAGAGTT